CCCTGGCTTCGCTTCGTTAGCATCGCTTGGGGAATGATGGTCATGCATTTTAATTCCCTAATAAGATCGGGCATCTGCATGGTTTGCATTTCCAACCCTAAGGACACCCGTGGTTCCATTTGGTTGTCTCGCCTCCACAAACCTTCCCTTCCAGCCCTTCCACCTCAGGGAGCATCTTTCACTCTAACACCTGTAGCACTCATGCCTCCTCCATGGACCGTCTCTCACTGACTCAGCCACATGGTGTCCGTTCCTTAGACCCTGGGCCTGAGGGGAGTAGTGACGGTCACAGCTGTTTGTTCCCCGAGCCCGGCCTGTTTGCTCAGTCCCCCATGTTTGCTCAGTCTGGTCGAACGGGCAATTTCTGCTGTGGCAGTGACCGCTCTATCTCTTTGGGCTGATAATACTCGGGTTTCAAAAGCAATGTGTGTATCCAGAATAGAGGAAAAATGAAGAGAGGAAAAGAATAAGGGAGCCGAGGGGAAGGGATCCATGCTTTTTTTCTTTCTTAAATATATTTTTATTGATTTCAGAGAGGAAGGGAAAGGGAGAGAAACATCATGATGAGAGAGAATCATCAATCGGCTGCCTCCTGCATGCCCCCTACTGGGGATCAAGCCCATAACCCAGACATGTGCCCTGACCGGGAATCGAACTGTGACCTCCTGGTTCATAGGCTGACACTCAACCATTGAGCAATGGACATGTCAGCCAGGGCGTAGGCAGGGGCGATTGGAAATGGTTTCTCTTGACAAGCCGAGGGACATTCTGCCCGCATCCAGGTACTTGAGTGTTCAACAGGCTTGTTTTGGCACCTGGTGTCAGGTGATGTCTTGGCTGAAAGGGAAGACATTGTATTTGTCTTTTTGCCTGTGGAGGGGAGGGGAGGGGAGGGGAGGCGAGGCTCCCCTTATGCAGCCAGGCCTGTGCCACCAGCTTTGAGCCGCCAGAAGCAAACCTGCAGATGCACTGAGGAGTAATCCAGAACCCGCTGCCAGGAAACAAGGAAGCGTGCCACACAAGCTGTGCCAACACTTGGCTCGTGCCAGCGTTCGGGCCCGAAGCTAGGCTCTGCCTCTTCTCCGCCTGCGGGAAGTGCGAGCACACGGCCCACCTGTGTTCTCGGGACCCAGGCTGCTGCTGAGAAGGGCAGAGGCAGCAGGGCGGCAGCTGGCTTTCGGGTAAACAGGAACCGCTTTAGTGGCCACCCTTGCGTGGCGGGGCCGGTCTCCCCGAGTGCTGTCTGGTTTATATTTCAACCCTCCAAACGAGGGTTTCATCTCAATCTTTTTCAGGAGCACGTGGGGGTTATTGTTTGCCAATCTGAAAGCAAAAGTCTCACAGTCACTGCAGATGGTAGAGATCTTTTATTGCTTTGGGCAAGGCAGCATTGACTGGTTGGGGGCTGGGCCACAGCCCCCCTCGTGTCCAAGAGAAGATGGCCTCACTTCTGGGCACGCGGGTCTCCGGTCAGAAGTGGGCCCCACTCGAGGAGGCAGAGCCGTCCCTTCCTGCTGAGCACTCCAGCGGCCCCTGCGGGGAGCTCCGACGGGCGCTTGCTGAGGCCTGCAGGGGGCCTTGCGGTCAGGTTCAGGGGCAGGTTCCTTCCCTCAGAGCCTGCGAGCCTTCCTGGGGCGGCAGCCGTTGTGCGGGATGGGGGTGTTGTCTGTGATGGAGATCACTTCCAGGCCCCCCATCGTCAAGCCCTGGATGCAGACTGGGAAGGAGCAGAGAACAGGAGGCAAGGCTCAGCGCCGGAAGTGATGGCCCTAGTGCCCAGGCAGGGCTGGGACAGCGAGGAGGGGGGTGTGGGTGAGTGAGGGAGGGGGGAGAGTGGAGAGGTTCCCTGGCTTTGACACCTACTCACAAAGGTCTCCAACCAAGCCCGTTAACCAGGTGTTCAGTGCTGCCCACTGTAGTCACACCTGTCGCTCCACCTGCGCTCCACCCCCTTGGGACAAAGGCTGCCTGTACACCCTCCGACCCTCAGGCTCACACTTCTGCAGTTGTTTCCTCTGCCTGGAATGTCCCCCCTCACCTGGACAATGCCACGCGATTCTTGAAAAGTCAGAGTTGTCACCTCTTTGGGGGGCTTCCCTGATCATCCCCGACGGGCTCCCAGCACCTGGGGCACAAGCTCGACCAGTGCCCCCACTCGTCTGTGCTGAGCGTCCCATTTCGATGGTCCCCAGGGACCACCTTTCTGTCCCCGGGCCTGGCACGCAGCAGGCGCTCCGTGAATGTCTGAGGAACTCAGCTGAGGGGCCTGGGCTTGTGTCAGAAGCGCAGGAGGTTATAACAACAACAGAAATCTCCAGCCTCATGGGAGCCCACGACAAGGCCCCTCCACTCTCCCCCCCCGCTCTCCAGCCCCGTTGTCTACGGAAGCACGTGCACTCTGCGGAGAATCACTCACTCACCAAGCGCCCCGGCCCCAGGCCCTTCACCACCACGCGGATGTGGGTCACGCCCTTCGCTGTGGCCTTCTGGAAAGGAGCGACAAGTGGTTAGTGCCCAGCGGGAGCTGCTACGTCCACGCCTCCAGCTCCTGCCCCCGGGGCGCAGGGTGAGAGCTCCAGGGAGAAGGCACCCCCATGTGGAAACAGGCCGAAGCAGGGCAGATGCCTCGGTGCGGGCCGCACATCAGCAAGGACAGCACTCAGGTCACAGACTGCGAGTCAGCTGCGCTCTTTCGCCCAGGGCAGCACTGCCACCTGGTGGAGTGTCTAACCATCGCTCCGATGTGCCTCAGGTGGGTGAACGCAGAACCTCAGACCTCGAGGAGCCCGGGGCTGCAGGCAGAGCTTCAATACCCACTTAGCAAGTGTCCTCTTACCATCTGACATCTTTAGTGAAAGGCACACTTTTCCTCACCGATTACAAAGGCATCGTGATGGGAAGCCCGGGAAACACGCAGATGTCACTGAACCCGCCCCACAGAAGCCAGTCAACACTGACACGTGTCTTTCACGGGTATGACCTGCCCTTGGTGGACAGTAGCACACGTCGAGGATCATTAATGCAGAGCAGTCAATGGTCTGGGGCACTGAGCTGTGTGTGAAGGCCCGGGTTTTCCTTCAGGAAACGCCTGTGAACCTCTGGAGGCCTGTGCACAGCAGCCAGGGCACAAGCTGTGGTCCCAGACCACACCAGGGAGCTAAAGCAACCGTGTGGCTCTGAGCAAGTCGTACTCTGTATGTGAACTGGCTCAAAGCACGGACAGTGCCGGCGTCTTTTGATAATGAGTGTCAAGTGTCTGGCATATAGTAGATGCTCAGTAAATATGCAGCAGCGCACACTGCCAATCTGCGTCTA